TTCTCTTGATAAAGCCACCACATTGCCAGGCACATGTGAGAACATCTGCGTAGCTTTCTAGTGCTTCTGCAAGGGCAATAGCACTTGCCAGACACCTTGTCAAAGGTCACTCTGGTTCGGCCAAATAGACACCATGCTTCTTTTTCATTTGTATATACAGAAAAATAAACATGTCTTCCAGAGTAACCATACTGATCATAGAAGATTGGGTAGACTGTGCAGGCACCTTCAGCAGCCGCTGCAGTGTCAATCTTAATGCATTCCAGCCTCCTCTCTTTGGATATTAACCCCCGATCGGCCATTGATTCCATAGTCTCCGCTTTAAGTTCTTCTGGACTGACATAAACAGGTGCATTGGAAACTCTTCTGAGATGTTCACACTCCGTACCTGGTTTACCACTAAGCTTTGCTAAGGACATAAATTCCCTGCAGTCTCGCAATTCACAGTCAATTGCTTGTGATGGTGTAGACTTACAGACATGAATTGGAGTTCTGAGTCCTTGTTTATGTTTAGCAGTAAAAAAGATGCCTTTCTCTACATCAACACATACAATGGGCTCTGAATCCCAGCTATGATGTTTTTTTTCATGTCTCCTAAGGCTTGCAGTACAGGTGAAAGAGGCCTTGCAAATGGAGCAGTTATGTAGCTCTACAGTTGCAGCTGCGACAACCTTTTTCTCACAGTCTGGCTCGTCCTCAAATGATCTTTTTCCAATGTCTGAAAATAATAAAAATAACATTAACAATAGGTACAAATTAAATATTTTAGACATAAAATATACTATTTCAATGATGTAAATTATCTATGCGTAATGTAATTTAAAAAAATTACAGTAATGCAGAAATATATAGGTATTATCGTATTGGCCCGCAAATGTATTTTGAGGAAAATACTCGTTTTGTATTCGGATCAACACGATATGATTGTATGAAAAGGAAGCAATTTGCTAAATATACTTCTATGGTTCTGTAGAATATACGGTGAATTATCAATTATTTCAGCATCAGATATTCTGAATGATGATGGAGACAAAATTTTGCACTCACATCTCTCTACCAACAGACATATGTATGTATCTGTCAATGCTTAATAAAAAATGTATAATTTCAGACTTTTCTAATTTGTCTGCATTTTATATTGTTAGTTCTATCTTTGTTAGGAGTATAGTGTACACAAAGTTATATACTGGAAAATAAGCAGTGGACAGAGACAAGGCTAACTCAATTCAATTTAATTAAAAAAATCTTTTTAAAATTATATAAAAATATACCTTAATTACATCTTATAATTTACCCTTACAATATTTAGAAACATAAAAGCCAATCCTCAAAGTTGTGTAATTTAATAACTGCTGCTAATCATTTCACAAACCTTTTTCAAGTTCTGTCTTTTTCGCAGCCAGAACAAGTCCTGAAATGTAAATACATAGGTACATGTTAATTGTTTAGATTACAAGATTAAATTATATCTTGGTAATTTTAATTCATTTGTGCAGATGTATGCTTAAAACATATGTGAAGTCGATCAACGTTCATTCCAAATTATTACCATGTTTTTCCAGATGCGCAGTAAAGTTGCAATGCCTCAACACCA